CTCCACCCTGTCTGGGACACCCTGAGCACCCGTGGGACCCCCACGGGCCCTGCCCACCGGCTTGCTTGTTTGGACAAGCTCCTGGGAACTTTGGGTCTCACCGCACGGGCCCTTCGGCCTGGGCACACGCCACACGCGGACTTTACCAACCATCTTTGTATCAGAGTGAACACTTCTATTATCAGGGGTCGGGACCGCCTAGGTGTGTTAGAAGCGGCATTGCAGGGTGAGCTACCCCGGTAGATAGGTCAGGTGCTGAACCATTTTGGATGCCTCGACACAGCAGTTGCAGCAGAGGAAGAAGGGTTCTTCTCCCTTTTCTTTGCCAGGTTTTGCATGCACACGAGGAGCCTGAGAAGACCATGCCTTGGGTCACCTCCATCTTAATCAAAGTGACATCTTGGCCGTTTGACACTTTAAAAAGGTCTCTTGCATTCAATTTGCCCAAATACAAATAGATTTGTCCACGACTTAAAGTTTCTCCTTAAGTCTAGACAACGGTGAAACAATACATCGAACGCTGGCTGTTAGCATCTGTCGGTGTTCATAATGTGATATTGTCACCATAGTTGATGTCAACCTCTCTGAACATGGACCTTGGAAAAGCTGTGCAATCGCCGTACATCACTGTGTGATATTCTCACGATACAGATGCAGTGGGCATCAATAACCTTGAGTACAGAAAATCATCCATCACTCATCTGTCAGTTTGCTGCATTGTGGTGGCTTGCGTGTTGCTGTGATTCTAGGAGCTATGAAATGTGCAAAGACCTAGAACTAGAACGTTAAAAAGGAGGAACACACTCAGCATATTTGAAACTGAAAGAACTCACTAAAAAAAATCAAACCTCGAGTTGCAATCTTGAAAGATTCTACAGGCAAAATGTTGAAGATGATGGAAGCATCAAGAGACGATGGAAAGAATTTAGAGTTGCTATACCGAAAAGAACTAGCCAACATTCCACTATTTCAGGAGGTAGCATATGAGCAAGAACCGTGGGTGCCGAAGAAAGAAGTTCAAACTGCATGAATGCACTAGTCAAAAACTCCAGGAATTGATTGAATACCAATTGAAAATTTTCAACAAACTGATAAATCGCTGGGAGCAATCACTCATCTATGCCAGGAAATTAGGAAGACAGCTACTTGGCGAACTGACTGGATCCATATTCGTGCCCACTCCAAAGACAGGTGATCCAAAATGATGCTCAAACTATAGAACGATATCATTGATATCGCATTACATGTGAGTAAAATTTTGCTGAACTTCATCCAACATAGGCTGCAGCCGTATATTGCCAGGGAATACCAGAGATTCAGGCTGGGCTCAGAAGAGGACATGGAGCAAAGGATATCATTGCTGATGTCAGATGGTTTTTTTTTTCCCCTCTTGTAAAAGCCTTAATTTTTTGTTAAATGAAGATTTAATCTTAAAAAGTAAACTCCTAATAAAAATTTCAAACTTGCAAAATACCAATTTTCAGAGTGAATGTAGTCTTACAAATGATTTTTTGATTTGTAAAAGGATAAACCTAGACATTAATTTCCTTACTTTCAAAGATGTTCTATGTCATGTTCCCCCTTTCCAGGAAAATGAATTTTGTTTAAAGTGTGGTAAACATCAACACTCAAATATAATTCCTTTCTTTTACATTCAAAGTCATTTCTTAATTCTGAATGCACACCAGGTGTGGGGAGAACAAAGATGAATTTCTCTATCTGATACATGAAGAGTTTATAATACAAAGAGTGTAGATCACCACAGATACAAATGGAATCCAATGAGATAAAAAAAAAATCAAAAAGAAAAAAAATCACCGTATTTTTTCCCTTGGGATATGTACCCAGTTG